ATCTGCTGAGTACTTGATCCCGTGGAGGATCTGCTGAATATTCGATTCCGTGGAGAATCTGATGAATATTTGATTCCGTGGAGAATCTGCTGAGTACTTGATCCCGTGGAGAATCTGCTGAATACTCGATTCCTTAGAGAATCTGTTGAATGAGTCGGTACCGCATTTGCATCTGCATAGAGTCGTGTGTCGGTCTCTATGAGTTGCATGAGTCATCTGTGTATGATGCATTGGTTGAATGAATATAACTGTGTATGTTATATATGATTGTTTGGAGGAACATATAGTGAATGTTTATGAGCATGTGTAGAGGCATGATTAATTGTATATGCTTAATGTGGTGAGAACATGTTTGAGTATGACTTGTATAATTATGAATATATGTATATATACAATTTTATGCATTAACTGTTATGATGTTGTTTCTCACCCTTCTGCTGTTTTATAATGCTCTATGAGGCATTGCAGAGTAGGAAGCTGGAGGTTCTTTTTGTGAAGCGATGTCTTCATTCTTTTTGGTCAATGGCTCTGATATGTAACATCTGGATAGTTAGGAAGCCTTTGACTTTTTTGGAGTTACATTTGTTTTGATTCTTTTGTGATACATATGTGTATGTATCTGCTGTGGATATGTTGTAAAGCATGAATTAACTGATGGTTGTATATACTTTTATGAATGAGATCGATTCAATATTTGGATGTTTCCGCTTTATTCTAAATATTGAGATGTGGGTTACCCATTGTTGCATATCTATTTTGAGCAGGTATCGTATGTGTTTAATTTCATGATAATGTGATGCGCCTCTTTTATACCATGTTTTAATTAAACTCTGATGAAATAAATTTTCTAAGTGCCTAATTGATTTATTTAATTTATTTGGGGGTATAGAAAGGGGGTGTTACATCTGTGACATTGTCGTTTGAAGCATAGGTCGTACTATCCCCCGGTTCAACATTCTCGTTACTTGTCTCACCATGTAATGTCCAACATGTATAACTTCGATCAATTCCAAGCCTCTTTAAATGCGATTTCAACTGAAGTACGTCAATTTGACGCCCATAATAGCAACCTAAGCAAGGACATGTGATCCTACTGGGGTCTTTGGCGTGTTCAACAGCAAACTTAACAAATTTTGACACCTCATTCTCGTACTCTTTTGACAATCGATTGGAAGACATCTATTTTTTATCCATATTAATGAAGTAGGATAAACTAAACTAAGTAAGCTAAATAAAAAGCAGTGATTACGTGTAGCTATTGTAGAGAAGTTAGCAACTTCTAGAACTACACAGTAAGATTCTTAGAAACAATCACAATCTTACTCTTCACAAGTAACCCCTATAAAAAATTCACTAAGTTAGTAGCTGATGGCGTACCTAATATAAAAACTTCATCACTTAAGTTCAAACAATTAATCAACAACATCACAATATTCAAAAATTAATTCGCGAATATTCAAACATCAACAATTAATTCAATCAACAATATCAATAATATTCAACAACTAATTCAAGAATGAGAAGTGGTCGGACAGACAGAGGGAGTACGACGGAGGGAATATGACGGGGGGAGTACGGCGGAGGGAATATGACGGAGGGATTAAGGTTTTATACTTGAGAGAGGGAAAGAATGATACGCGAGAGAGAAAGAAAGAATGGGTCCGAAATGAAAATTTTGTTTTATTTTTAGCAAACTAAATACCTATAACAACGGTTTTGTAAACCCCCCCCCCCCTATAACAGCGCTTTCTCCTAAAAAAATACTTTCGTACCCCCCTCCCTTTAGCAGCGCTTTAGAAAAGCACTCTCTAAGGTCTGCCTTAGGCAGGACCTATAGCAGCGGTTTAGGAAAGCGCTTTCGTATCCCCCCATTTAGCAGAACTTTCTTAAAAGCGCTTTCTATTGTATTGCATAACAACGACCTTTAGTAGCGCTTTCTAAAGCCATGTTATAGTAGCGCTTTTTTCCTTTGTTTTTTTTTAAATCTTTAGCAACACTTTTATAGAAAGTGATGTCTTTACAGTGCTGCCAAAAATCATTTTTGGCGTAGTGTTAAATAAGAGAGATAAAGATAAGTGACTGCAGACAATTAAAATCTGCATAGATACTATCCTACCTTTAATATGAAAATTTTGATTCCTTTTAAGGTTATCGTCATTTATCGACAAATATTTTGGGATATAATCTCCATGAGAAAGAATCTTTATAGATTTCGAGTGCTTGTGGATTTAGACTATCTCTCGTGTTAGGATCCCAAAATGTTCACTAATCATTTTGTTTATTACTTGTGAGACAATGATTGATTTGTGATATATTATTTTTTGATGGTTTGATTAATATTTAGTGTTACCAAGAGATTTAGGTTTTTTGTTTGAGTTTTTTCAATTATTTAGGGTAAGGTCAAAGGTAAGAATTGACTTTAACTTGGTTTAACACTCCGTAGGTTGGGCTATTTGAAAATTCTACAATGGTATTCTTTTCTCATTTAAAACAAAAATTCTTAACAAATTGGTGGATATGGTAGTCGTCACTTCTTAGAACGGGTATCTTGGTAAGATTTATGGCCACTCATACACTTTTAACGAATGTTTAATGAAACATGTATTAGACCCAAATCGTTATAAGTATGAGAATTTATCTTACATGACTTATAAAGTAACCTCTGATGACTCTCTTCATTACAAACTTGAGACCCTTCCTTTTAAATCTTGAGGCTACCTATTAGGGCTATACCTAGTCGAGAGGCTACTTGGGATTCCTTTATTTACCTGTTACGTAAGGGGCTTAATACCTAGAATTTTGTGTATGTGCATAATGTTATCCTTATCTTCTTCTTATCTTTTTTCAAACAGCCTTTCAAGGTTTTGAGGAAGATAATTCAGATTCAAAGAAGATTTCTATGGGTTGGTGTTAAGGGAAACTCTAAAATATCTTGGGTTAAATTGATTGATATTCTTAATAAGCCTATGAGTAAATGTGGCTTTAGGTTTAGAGATATTCATGCGGTCAAATATGGTTCCTCTGTTGTTTTTTCTATAAGGGATGATAGTGACACGGGCTCCCATAACTCCTCATCCTGGTGGAAATGGGTTTCCCTTCACGTTCTAAGTAAGAAGGTTCATTTTGTCTAAATTGTGGATGCTATCACCAAGAAGCTTGGACTAGGGTTTCATGTGTCTTTATGAGTTGGACTTTGGGTTAATAGTATCCCCTTTAAGAATAAATTCCTCAGGTTGTTTATGACCACTGAATATTCTAAGAGAAACGTGAGAGAGGTAGGTAGGTGTGGTTAGACGAATCCTCATTTGGGGCATTAGGTGGATGAGGTCTTTCTTTGTTCATGAGGAACCCATTGTTGCTCATTTCCTCTTGGACATTCGAGGACATATTTTTCCTTGGATAAAGACAAGTGAATTTGAAATTTTGTTAGGGATGATACTTTTTCGGTGTCCTATACTTATCATACTTTTGTGGTTTCTTCTAATTGTTCTGACATTTCCTTTTTCTACTAATAATACAATATTCCCTATTATTTGGGACAATTGTAAACCTTTTAAGGTGGTTGTTTTCTCTTGATAGTTTCTTTTTTATAAGTTTTCCTATAGAGAATGAATCTATTCAAGAGAAAAGTGGATGAATCTATTCAAGATAAAAGTGATTATTAACTCTGCGCATACCTCTTATCCTCTCTCTAATGATTTGTTTGAGTCAGCTTCTCACTTGTTTATTACTTGTAACTTAGTTAGTTGTGTATGGTATATGATTTTTAGATAGATTCAGTTTCTCACTTGTTTATTACTTGTAACTTAGTTGTATATGGTATATGATTTTTAGATAGTGTCAGCTTCTTTAATGATTTGTTTGAGTCTACTTTAATCTCTAATCTATTATCTATAGACTATATTATTTTATATTTTTAATCTACTTTAGCATATATTTCATATTATTATATATAAGAAATAATTCATAACGACACTGTTAATTAAATTAACTTAATTGCACTTTTAAATGATAAATTATACCCTCTCTAATCACTATTATAAATAAGTTTAACTTTTTTATAATACATTTAACTATTAATGTATTTAGTCTATATATGAATTAACATTAATAATCAAATGTACCACACAAAAATAAATTTGGTTATAATAGTCACCAAAGAGTGTATACTTTTTTTATTTATGCACTTTAAAACTTATAATAAAAAATAATTTAAAACCTCCCACCCACTTGTGTTGAACCGACACTAGTACATCAAGATTTTTGACACCTATGTGATTGGATTATAATTGCAATTATGATCCTATAATCTTATTCGACAAAATTATTCCAAAATATCAAGGAACATAAATAGCCCATAATCACAATTTAAAACTTTAATTATAAGATGTGTGGGGGTCCAAAACCAATATTCTATAAATCAAAAGCTAGCATCCACAATCACAACAATCCAATTTATCAAATTTAATTTAGCCTTGCTTTCAAATTTAAATGAAATGGTCCAAAAAACAGAGTAAATTAAACATAAAGAAATGGTCCCAAAACAGTTAGGCACAGAAAATTTAAACATTTTTAAATTAAAAGTATGATCTAATTTTATTTAATACCATTTATTGTCAATAACCAATTTGCAAATGTAACCCTACATTTTGCAAAATTAAACTTATTTTAATATCATAATTTTAGTTTCTCTTAATGATCATGTGAATGTCAAAATTTTAAATATAATTAGTTAAATTTTTGTACGATTTTGATCCGTATAAATGTTATGATACTGATTGAAGTTTTTACGATTTTAATTAATTAAAATTTCTTTTTCATCATAAAAGTGATAAATAACAGTATTAATTTGAATACTATGAATCTGTGTTCACAATATGCATATAAAAAGATATGCAACCTATGATAAAAGTCTATTTATATTTCCCACTTACTACAACCAAAAACATCTCCAAACTTTTCTTCTTCTCATTCTTACCAATATTTCAAATCAACCAAAAATGTTCAATTCCACTTGTGAGAAAAGTGTTCTTCAAATCAAACAAGATGACAAGTTTTTCAGCAGACTACTCTCAAAGGAAAACTCCATCTCTAATCCATCCTTTAGAGTTTCTGTTGCTGTTCCGTTTGTTTGGGAATCTCAACCCGGAACTCCAAAACACACATTCTCTAAGGACACGATTCCTCCTCTCACACCTCCACCTTCTTACCATTTCAACAATGCAAACAAAAAGAATGAGAAAAAAATCTCAAAATCGTCCAAACTTTTTTCGGGGTTTCTTCAAAAACTAAACTTCAAGAAAATCCATTGGTCATCATCTCCCTCGTCATCACCGTCTTCGTTGTCAACTGATTCGGCCAAAATTACATCCGCGACAACGAGGGTTAGTCGAAGGAGATTCTTAAGCGGCGGATCGTCTTTTGATTTTAGAGGTGTTAGTGAAGATGATGGTAATGGTTCGCCGACTTCTACATTGTGTTTTGGAATTCACCGTTCGGCTAGCTCGAACAGTGGCTTCCAAAGTATCTACAAAAGGCGCGTAAGATAATAAAGAATATGTTCAACATTGGAAATCTGCTGTCTGTATTATGCCTGGTGTCTGTATGAAAGAAAGTTAAATCTTAGTTTTGACCTGGACAAAAGGTATTTGCTATGTTTTCTTAATGTTTATAAGGATATCACAATTAAAAAAGTTTGAACCATCAATATTTATATTTTTTTAATGTAATTTTTGCCGGTAAGTTTTTTTTTTAGTAAAGTCAATTTTCTATGTTAGATTTGGTTTTGGATTTGGTTTTGTTCCTCTCCAACTTCTTTTTGGAACTTGTTGTTATTGCAGCTGTGATCATGTGAACTAGATTGAGAGAGCTTCTAATTGTGCAAAAGTTTGTTTTTGCTATTTCTCTAGAGCATGAATTTTAGATGAATTTTAAGTTTTTTATTGCGAATGTGCATACAATAGTTGCAATACAAGACGCTGCAACTACAATGACTACAATCGCAACATCTATAACTATAACCGCATATGCACCAGCAACTGTAATCCCAATTTAAAACCATATAGTTGAGAGAATGCAATTACGAATATGAACTTGTGCTTCAATATATCATATATTAATAGTATTTTTTACCATTTGAGTTCTAGCTCTTTACCTGGGGAGAAGGGGAAAATCATCTGAAGTTATAATTTTGTCTTTTATGCGATAGACTTTTCTATGGGGTAATATCTTTCTCTGGTTTGTTTCTTAATGTTTTATTGATTGCAAAGAGCAAGATCTGTTGGAAATTAACTTTTGTTGGGAAGCCAAAATTTAAGGAAAGAAAAGGTGGTCCAAGCCTAAGTTACAATCATGCTATCAATTTGGCCTAAATTGTTTACTACATTTGGATAATATTTTAAATGTTATTAAAACAATTCATGAAATTTTTAATAAATAAGTGATTTATTAGAACAAATAGTTTTTCAAAAAGAATAAAAAGTAAAAGAGAATAAAAGAGAGAAATTAAATTGTACAAAATAAATTTATTGAAGTAGAGTTCTAGTAGTTAGATTTACATTGTCACATGTATATATAGACAATCAAAACACAATTTACAAGTTACACTATTCGACTTTGATGAATACATGTTTATACTTCAACACACATGTTGTATTCAACTAACACAAATATGTCGAATGCAACTTTCCTAAAACAATGAATTACATCTTCTAACACACCTCCTAATTAATATTTTCGAGACTTCTAATCCCAAAGCTTCTTTTAAACTCATCAAATTTGACTTTCTTTAGGGGTTCGGTGAGCATGTCAGCTAGTTATCGTTCTGACTTGCAATGTTAAAGTACAATTTTTCCTTTATTACTTGAGCCCTAAGGAATTGATATCTTATCTTTATGCGTTTACTTTGACCATGACACACATGCTAATTTTTCAAGTGATAGCCGACATTCTTATCGGCATACAACTTCATTTTATTAGGTTGCATGATCTTGAGCTCCTAGAGCAACATCTCTATCTGTAATCCTTGACATGCTGCATACGATGCATCCACGTACTCAGCTTCACCGGATGACAAAACCACAATGATTTTCTTTCTTGACCTCCAAGAGATTGGAGCACTTTCAATCATGAATATGTTGCCTGTAATACTCTTCTTCTCATCTTGATCTCCACTAAAGTCTGAGTCGGTATAACCATGTTCTTCTGCATCTGTGCGGGTATTCTTTTGCCTTGACATCAACACACCATGATCAATTGTACCTTTTATGTATCTAAACATTCTTTTGAGTATAGTGAGATGACATTCTTATGGCTTCTCCATAAATCTTCTTAACATCCTAACACTTTGAAAAATATATGGCTTAGTGTTGACAGATACCTTAAGGATCCATTGATTTTCTTGTACAATAATGCACTTACAAACTCGTCATTTGTATTATTTTTCAATTTTGCTCCAATCTCCAATGGTGTGACAACTGCATTATAGTTACTCATCTTGAACCTTTTCAAGATATCATGGACATACTTTGTCTTGTGCAAAAATACTCATTCACTTTTTTCTTTAAACTTCATCTTTAAGAAATATGACAAGTTTCCTAAGTTGGACATTTCAAATTTCTGCATCAGTTTCGACTTGACCCTTTTTATTTCTACTTCATATGCACCTATAATCAGCAAGTCATCCGCATAGAAGCACATAATGACTCAAATGAGCCTACTTACATTGTTCACAAACACTCAATGTTTTGAGATGCATTTTGAGAAACCTGCCTTGATCAAGAAGTTATCTACTCTCTTGTTTCAAGACCTTGAGGCTTGCTTCGAACCATATAAAGTCTTCCTCAATCTGTACACATTCATGTTCTGACCATTTGATTTCGAATCCTGGTGGTTAACTAGCATAGACCTCGTCTTCCAATGGTCCATTAAGAAATGATGACTTTACATCTAGTTAACGTATCTTCCATCCTTTGTATGTTACGATCAACAAATTATTTTTGATGGTTTCCAGCTTTGGAACAAGTGCATAGACTTCGTTGAAGTCAATACCAGGTTTTTACAAGAACTCTCTTGCCACCAGTCTCTCTTTATGCATGGAAATTTCACCATTTGGCATTAGCTTCAACTTGTATACCCACTTCACATAAATTAGCTTCTTGACTGAGTTTTATACAAGCTCCAAAGTCTTATTTTTCTCGATTTCCTTGAGTTCTTCTTGCATGGATGCCAACCAATTTGAATCATTCATGGCTTGATCCAAATAAATTAGATCTGATTTAGCCATCATCATCATTTCTTATATGAAGTCACCATCTGCATCTATTTCTTGATATGGAAATTTATCATATCTAGCTAGGCTTGTTGACTCACAGTACTATAAATAATCGCGTTTCACCTCAAATACAAAGGGGATATAACTGGTTACACAAGTAAGGTAATGAAGGGCAACATGAAAATATACCACTTTACCCCTCGAGTTTGGAATAACCGAGAGAAAAGCGGCACTGATAAGAGTTTTAATCCCCAACAACTGCATGTTTTGGATTTTCAAAACAGCGTTACTTTTTACCTCAGTTTTAAACAGTAACCGAGGTGCAAAGTCCTGTTTACTAAATTTCAGTTTTAACCTATTTTTTTATTTTGTTTTAATCTGTAAAGCATCAAATTTATTGACACATTCTAAGCCTTTCTCACCATCATCATCAAGAACAACAATAACAACAACAACAACAACAAAACAAACAATATAATCCTTAAGTATTAAATCTTGACAACAAAAATAACAAAAACAACAACAATAACAACAACAACAATAACAAAAAACTCTGTAGAATCTTTAAACGTTAAATCTCAATAACAACAACAACAACAACAACAATAAATAAATAAAATCAATAGAATCGTTAAATAATAAATTTCAACAACAACAATAACAATATTAAACATTTTACTTCATACAACTATAACTAACATTAATAAGTTACTTGCATGCTTTCCTAACTAAACATTAAACATTGTTAACAAGGAATTACTAGAGAAAATATTATATTAATAAACCAACCTTGAAATATTTTTCTGCTTTTACTTTCATTATCATTGTTTTCAATATGTTAAGTTTATATTTAAGCATTTTGCATCCAAGATGGATAGTTGTGGCATTCACGTTTTGATTGGCTAGTCAGTGTTTCATAGGGATCACTAATATTTCATGTGGATTGATGATTTGAAAATGTCTTGACTATTGTTACTTTATAAAGGACGACAAATATTCGTTACTTAATTTTTTCATCAAATTGATCTTAAATAAAAAAACATAGGTTACTTTACCCCTCAGTTTCCAGCAAAACCAAGGTAATAGGTCAAAAAAATTTTAAAAAATTAAAAGCCGATAAAATGTAGTTATTGGGATTTGAAAGTGTGTCCTTTAAATACTTTACCCCTCGACTTCCCGCTCAACTGAGATAATAAGTTTTAAAAAATTTTAAAAATTCGAAGGTGTTAAATGTAGTTGTTGAGATTCAAAGGAGTGTCCTTTAAATACGTTTTCCCTCGATTTCTAGCCCAACTGAGATGATAAGTCATAAAAAAATTTAAAAATATTAAAAGGTACTAAAACGTAGTTGTTGGGATTCAAAGGTGTGAAAGTTTTGTCATAAAGTATATTATTGTTAGTAGTCTCAGTTCTCGTTCTAGTAGATCTTCAAACATTATGCTCAGGTGATTCTTCATTTCAATTGGTTGCTGTTTTATTTTGTTGGTCTTCTTCCAGCATAGTTGTGATTGTATCTTGCTCATGCCGAGCTAACCCTTGAGTCCAATTCCATCATTTATTTTTGTCCACCAGAACATCCCTACCGAACACAAGCTTATCATTATTTGGTGAATATAAATTTTATACACGAGTCGAATGATAGCCTATTAACATCACGGCCTGACTTCGATCGTCTAGCTTCTTCCTCAATTGTTCAGGTACATGTATGAAACACACTGATCTAAATACTCTAAGATGACTAAAATTTGGCTTTAGTCCTGTTCAAGCCTCATTAGATTTCTTCTCGACTATCTTTTTGGTTGGACATCTATTTAAAATGTATACTATTGTATAAGCTGCTTCAACCTAAAATTTCTTTGGCATTTCTTTAGCTTCCAATATTCTCCTAGTCATGTTCAATATACTTTTATTTCTCCTCTCAACTATACCATTATGGTGAATTGTGCAGGATGCAATAACCTCATGCTTTATACATTCCTCATTTCAAAATCTTGAAAATTCTCTAAAAGTGTATTCACCCGCACCATCAGTTCTCAGTTTCTTTAATTTGCATCCACTTTAATTCTCAATATGTAACTTAAACTTCTAGAGGTGTGTGAATACCCCACCCTTATTTTTAATAAGGTAAATTCCAATACACTTGACTTTGTTCCCTCACTTGAGGCAAGCTATACATTATCTTCTTCTGGTTGAGCATATTTTGACCTCTAGAGTTTAGGTTTCCATACATGTGATGTTATTTCCATTTCTTGTCTTCAACAGAAGTCAAAGTAAGAC